AGTTTCCATTCTGGTTGGGGAGATAGTGAAATTATTAAAAGAAGTAAATTGTATATAGTATGTAGGAAGGTGATAAGAGCTCCGGAGAAAAATTAAGCAGGGAAAGGGGATGAAGAATGCTGAGTTGGATGGTCAGGGCAGGCCTCACTAAAAGGTGACACTTGAGAAAAGACGAAGGAGGTGAGGGAGTGAGTCATGCAGCTGCTCGAGGGAAAAGCCTAGGCCCTGAGATGAAAGCATGTTTGAGGAGCTATGAAGAACCAGTTTGGATGAAGTGAGTAAAGAAGGCAGATAATAGTAGAAAATGAGACAGGAAGGTAATGTTAGGGGCCAGATGTTGCAGGCTTTGTAGACCTTGGTGAAGACTTGGGCTCTTACTTTGAATGGAGGAGGCATCGGTCAGAGGCTTTTGAACAAAGAATGATGTGATCTACCTTGCATCCTAAAATGATCACTCTTCATCCTGGTCTTGTGAATGGCTATGGAGATAGGGGAGGATGGGAAGCAGGCTCAGCGGTTAGGAGGTTATTGTAATAATAATCCAGGCAAGAGACAGTGGCGTCCTGGATGGCGACTGGGGTGATACCAATGGAGTGGTAAAGTCGTCAGATTTTGAATATATTTTGAACATGGAACAAACAGGTTGACTGGTTGGATGTGGGGGTACAATCAAAAGAAAGCGGTCAAGGATGACTCCAAGATTTTTGGCCTGAGCAATTGGAAGAATGGAATTGCCATTAACTGAAATGGAGTAATAGGTTGGAACAAGTTCAGTTTTGAACATGTTATCTTTTAGTTGGAAATTTTTGAACACACACAAAGGTAGAGAGGTTGGTTGAGTGTACTCCGTCACTACTTGAGCAGCTAACATGTCTACTCTTTTTTTTTTTTTTGAGACAGATTCTCGCTCTGTTGCCTGGGCTGGAGTGCAATGGCACCATCTTGGCTCATTGAAATGTCCACCTCCCAGGTTCAAGTGATTCTCCTGCCTTAGCCTCCAGAGTAGCTGGGACTACAGGCATGTGCCACCACACTCGGGTAATTTTTGTATTTTTAGTAGAGATGGGGTTTCACCATGTTGACCAGGCTGGTCTTGAACTTCTGACCTCAAGTGATCCGCCTGCCTCGGCCTCCCAAAGTGCTAGGATTACAGGTGTGAGCCACTGTGTTCGGCCCAAGATTCTTTTTGTTAAAGACAGGGTTTCACCCTATTGGTCAGGCTGGTCTCGAACTCCTGACCTCAGGTGATCCACTCGCCTCAGCCTCCGAAAATGCTGGGATTACAGGCATGAGCCACCATGCCTGGTCCAAGATTCTTAATATAAAACACTTCCCTCTACTTTTGGGAGGTAAAATTTGATTGAATAAACCAGATCATTTGAGCAGTAGGCTTCCTCACATTAGATTTGGATGATTATATATTGGGATGTCATTTATTCCATTACAGTATTCTTCATATTTCCTTTAAATTGGTCATTGGCTCTGGATAGATGAAGACATTAGAAGCACTTTTCTTCTTGTAAATTCTGTTGCTCAAATCTCCTGTGTCTATTCCCAGGCAATCGGTCATCCACACTCTTGCCTTCTGGATAAATACCTGTCTAGGCAAATACAGTATTTTAAAATCTGGATTGTTTTCCTTAAAGATAAACTAAGGGGAGTTACCTTATGTAAGAATTATTTATTTTTTCAAATAAACAATACTAGTTTGAAATATCATTTTTTAAAAATTATTTAAAAAATCATAACCACAATCAGATGAAATATCATTCTTATCTGGTATTTAAACAATTTGTTATAAAAAAAATTAAACTTTTTTGCCTAGCACATAAAGCAATAGTTGGTCATTTTATGTGGAAACAAGAAAACACATCCGTGTCTTTGAAAGCATTCAATCTAAAGGATTAGATCAAGGATTATCAACAATTTTACATCTAGCAATTACTGTACAAGGGGCTGACAGTACTAAGAGAATTTGGAGTAAACGTTTTGTGTAATGCCTGGAATTCAGGCAATGTCTAGAAGGTTTGAGGATTTGTGCCTGTGTTTGATTTTCTATGTATGAGCACGTATGCGTTTTTAACTTTTTTGGTGGTAGTGGGGAACTTAAAGTTTTCAACCGTATAAAAGTAGAGAGAATGGCATAATAAACCCCCAGACCCTGATCCTACAGATTCAGCTGTCATCAGCATTTTGCCCTACTATCATCAACATTTTGGCTGTATGTACTGTATTCCTTTTAAAAATTTATTGGCTGGACGTGGTGGACCTCCCATCTCATTATAGCCAGGAACTCAGTTTTTAAGGTTGCTCCGGTGTCCCCTTAGCCAAGAGGGGGGCCATTCAGTTGGTTGGGGCGGGGCTTAGAATTTTTATTTCTCAGTCTCAAAAATGTCATTTTACAGTTTGTTTGAATCAGGACCCAAACAAGGGGCATTCATTGCATTTGAATATATATATATATATATATATATATTTTTTTTTTTTTTTTCAAGATGGAGTCTTGCTCTGTCATCCAGACTGGAATGCAGTGGCACGATCTTGGCTCACTGCAACTTCTGCCACGTAGGTTCAAGTGATACTTTTGCCTTAGCCTCCCTTGTAGGTGAGGACTACAGGCATGCATCATCACGGCTGGCTAATATTTGTATTTTTTGGTGGAGATGTGGTTTCACCATGTTGCCCAGGCTGGTCTCGAACTCCTGACCTCAAGTGATCCTTATTGCATTGGGATTACAGGTGTTAGCCACTGTGCCTGGCCAACATTTGAATATATTTCTTCTTCTTTTTTTTTTCTTTGAAATGGAGTCTTGCTCTGTCACCAGGCTGAAGTGCAGTGGCGTGATCTTGGCTCACTGCAGTCTCCACCTCCTGGGTTCAAGCAATTCCCCTGCCTCAGCCTCCTGAGTAGCTGGGACTTCAGGCGGGCACCACCATGCATGGCTAAGTTTTTGTATTTTAGTAGAGACAGAGTTTCACCATGTTGGCCATGATGGTCTTGATCTCCTGACCTCGTGTTCCGCCTGCCTTGGCCTCCCAAAGTGCTGGGATTACAGGCGTGAGCCACCGCACCCAGCCTTGAATATATTTCTCAAATCTCTTATAATCTAAAACATCTCCCCTCGTTTTTATACCCTGAAACTGTTGAAGGAAGAAGTCATTTATTCTGTACATTGGCCCACATGCTGGATAGTGTTATTCAGTTGTTTCTCTTTATTTCCTGTAAACTGGAAGTTACAGCCAAAACTTGATTAGATTCACTCAACTTTTATTTATTTTTTTTTACAAAAATATACTATACTTCATAAATATTGCTGTACAATTGCATCACATCAGGAAACATGCACAGCTGTCCCATGTTTCTTGATCTAAGATTGATTAGTACATATAGGTAATCTTCAGTGTACATCCTTCAGTGCAAAATTCTTCCATAAACATCTAATAGTTTTAGCATCCATCTGCGACTGTTGCCTAAATAAGTTATTTATTGAAATCCTTGCTCTGGTCCAGATTGTTTTCATGAGATTAGTTTTAATCTTTGTCCCCTTTATTTCTATTTCTGTAGCCGGTTGCCTAGGAAAGATCCATTCATCTTTCAGCTTTTTTATTTTTTTTAATTTTACTTTTTTTTTTTTTTTTTTTTTTGAGACGGAGTCTTGCTCTGTCACCAGGCTGGAGTGCAGTGGCGCAATCTCGCCTCACTGCAACCTCTGCTTCCTGGGTTCAAGTGATTCTTCTGCCTCAGCCTCCCGAGTAGCTGGGACCACAGGCACGTGCCACCACACCCGGCTAATTTTTTTGTATTTTTAGTAGAGACGGGGTTCCACCATGGCCAGGATGGTCGCGATTTCTTGACCTCGTGATCCGCCCACCTCGGCCTCCCAAAGTGCTGGGATTACAGGCGTGAGCCACCGCGCCCGGCTTTTTTTTTTTTTTTTTTAAATGAAGAAAGAGCCTTGCTCTGTCACCAGGCTGGAGTGCAGTGGCGCGATCTTGGCTCACTACTACCTCCACTTCCAGGGCTCAAGCACCTCCTGTCTCAGCCTCCTGAGTATCTCGGACTACAGGTGCGCACCAGCAAGCCCAGCTCATTTTTGTATTTTTATTAGAGACGGGGGTCTCGCAATGTCGGCCAGGATGGTCTCGATCTGTTGACTTTGTGATTCGCCCTCCTGGGCCTCCCAAAGTGTTGGGATTACAGGCGTGCGCCACTGCGGCCGGCCAGCTTTCTTAGATCTCCAAATCTGTCAGGTCTACGGACATCTGAGACAGGCATGATCTGTCTTGCCTGGGGAGCTAACGAGGTAAGGAATTGAGTATTTCCTAACTTTCACACTTGAAGGTCATAAAGCAGGTAGATGGTTTTAATTTTGCCCTGCTGGGTGGGCTGGGGTTAGGGAAGGGTTGGTTAGTGAGAGGCAGAGTGAAATTGGGCAGTCCCCCCTTTCCTGGGGTCAAACTCAAAGGCTTTTTAGTAGAAATTCTTCAACAGAGCCTGGGCTCCTTGATTTTGAACTGAGGTAAGACCAAAGAAGCAGTCCAGGCCAGGTGTGGGGGCTCCCGTCGTAATCCCAGCGACTAGGAGGCTCGCACAGGAGGATTACTTGAGGCCAAGACTTTACGACCAGTCTGGGCAACATAGTGAGACCCTGTCCTAACAAAAAATTAAAAAAATATAGTCAGGCATGGTGGCGTGCCTGTAGTCTCAGCCGCTCGGAAGGCTGGGGACGGGCGGATCGCTTGAGCCAGGAGTTCGAGTTCGCAGTGAGCTATGATCACGCCGCTGCACTCCAGCCTGGGCGACAGAGCAAGATTCTGTCTCCAAAAAATAAAAGAGTCCATAGGGATTAGGTGACATCAGAGTAGAAAGGGAGAGTCCTGGATTCTCAGAATGGAGCCTTTCAGAGGTTTAACCCCGGGACTACATCTCCCAGAATTCCGCTCGCCGGATCCCACCATACTGAAAAGACTGCGCGTGCGCGACGCCAGTGACGCCCCGCCCCCACGGGCCCCACAACCCCCGAGACTCCCCGCTCTTGGCTCTCGCCGGCTTTTTCTAGACCCTCTGTCTGTCCGCTGGGGGCGCGCGCAGTGTATGGCAGGCGGCACTGGCGCTGGCGGCCGGGTGCGCGGGTCACGCGTGGTAGTGCGTGGTTGCTAGGGGCGCCTGAGGCCGCCTGCTAACCCAGCAGGCCGAGGGAGGAAGTAGCGTGGAGCTGGTGTCGAGCTGGGGCGAAGCTGGATGCCCTAGGTGAGTGCGGCTGCGGAGCCAGGGGAGCCGACCGCAGACCTTCCGCTGGTCCCACGCTCCCGACCTCCCTGTACCCGACTCCCTTCGCGCGGGTCCCCAGCCCTCCGGCCACTCTCGCCCCAGCCCCGCTTCCTTCCGCCACCTCTCTTCTCCCGGCTGGCCGGAGAGCGGCGGCCTCCTACCCGGCCGGGACTTCTCGCCTCCTCGGAGTCCTTCTCCCCTACGCCACGCCCTGCGAACTCAGTCGGCCTCGCCTCCGTGTGCCCGAACCCTACTCCATCCCCTCATCCTGGCCTTCTTGCCTCCTCTGTCCCGCTGCGCTGAGGTTTAAATTCTCTCTGGGTGTGAGTCCAAGCTCCTCGCAGGCTCCAGGGCCGAATTGAACATGAATCTACTTTTTTACTTACCCATCCTCAGTATCTGTAGAGGAATACATTCCTAAACTCTACAGATTCAAACAGGATCTGAGATCCTGTGGACTTTAATTGTTCGTTCATCCATTCCTTTATTTAATCAGTCACTAAACAATTTTTAGTAAACATTGACAAATATTTAATGAGCCTTGCTACAATGGAAGGGATTGAGGGGATAGAGTGGCTAATAGCACAAGCGTGTTTTCATGGAATTTATAGTCTAGGAGATTTTTAGTCAAGTACCTGAGCATTTGCCATACTGTGGTGTGGTAGAACAGGAGATACTTAATCTGTACTTTAACGACGTTATTCCCATTTCTCCTGGTCTTCACATTCTCATTCTGGATCTAGGAAATGTTTTAATCCTTCATTGATGGAATTGTCTTTGCTTTCTCAGATACTCCAAATCACCTGTTCCTTAACTTCAGCACCTGTTGATTTAGCCAATCAAGCATTTGGGGGACCCTTTGGGACAGTGTTCCATCCCATCCTTCGGTTTCTTGCACTGAATACTGAGATACTGTTTGCATTAAAACCGCCCACTTTGTGCTCAGAAAGCAGCTACTTACTAATTGGAGTGAATCAGTCCTTGAAAAATTATCAAGTGTTTTCTGGGAATGAAGAGGTGGGAGGACGTTCTAGACACAGTGTCTTTAGAAAAAATGCAGCAAGTCCTGAAAAGAGAACTGGAAATAGTTTGACAGACCTGAGCTAGTTTTGGAGGGAGCTATCCAGTGACAAACAGAAAGAGGGAAGTTAATAGGGGTTAGATGACAAAGGGCCTCGGATGTTTTGCTGAGTTAGAACTATATCCCAGGAGCAGTGGAGTGGTTTCCAAGCTAGAGTAATCAGGGTTTTAGACTTCCAAGGGATACACTTGCAAGTCTAGCTTTAGATGAATACATTTCCAGATCCTCAGCTTCCCAATGAACTTTTTTTCTAAAACTGCCCTTACAAAAAAAGCGGAAGTGGCAAATCCCTCACACTTTCCAATATGGTGTATTGACCTGAGTGTAAAAATGTCCTAGATACAAACCGAGATATTTGTTTTCAGGAACACCTCCTTTAGTGGTTTAAGTTACCTTCCAACCCAGAAGGCTGCCCAGTACACAATCCCATTAGTGTAAAGTGCGTTCCTTGTTAGCGTGTTCTGAAAAGAATGTAACAGTTAAATGTAATGGGAATGTCTTTTGGGACAATGGGGTTTTTAAGTTATTTTGGATAAAACTTGTGTATAATGTTTTAAAGAAATTTCTTTTAGTGTAGTGTGTGGTATTCAGTAAGATGGTTAATACGTATTTTAAGACCGGGTATGGTGGCTAACATCTTTAAATCCAGCACTTTGGGAGGCTGAGGCAGGCTGATCGATCGCTTGAGCCCAGGAATTTGAGACCAGCCTGGGCAATGTGGTGAAACCTCTTCTGTACAAAATAAAAACACACACA